TGGGGATTTTTGGGAGATTTTTGGGGGATTTTTGGGGTTTTTGGGAATTTTTGGGAGATTTTTGGGAGATTTTTGGGGGATTTTTGGGGGATTTTTGGGAAATTTTTTTGGGGATTTTGGGGGATTTTTGGGAATTTTTTGGAGATTTTTGGGAGATTTTTTTGAGAATTTTTTTGGATTTTTTGGGGGATTTTTGGGGTTTTTGGGATTTTTTGGGAGATTTTTGGGAGATTTTTGGGATTTTTGGGGGGGATTTTTGATGAAGTTTTTGGGATTTTTGGGTTATTTTTGTGATGTTTTCAAGGGTTCTTTTGGGGGTTGTTTTGGGTTTTTTTGGGGTTATTTTGGGGATTTTTTGGGGATGTTTTGGGGTTTTTTTTGGGATTTTTTGGGGATGTTTTGGGGTTTTTTTGGGGTTATTTTGGGGATTTTTTTGGGGATATTTTTGGGGTTACTTTTGGGATTTTTTGGGGATGTTTTGGAGTTTTTTTGGGGATTTTTTGGGGATGTTTTGGGGATATTTTTGGGGTTTTTTTGGGGTTATTTTGGGATTATTTTTGGGATTATTTTTGGGATTTTTTGGGGAATTTTGGGATTATTTTTGGGGTTATTTTGGGGATTTTTTGGGGATGTTTTGGGGTTTTTTTGGGGGATTTTTGGGGATGCTTTTGGGATTTTTTGGGGGTCACTTTGGGGTTATTTTTGTGATGTTTTTGGAGGTTTTTTGGGGTTGTTTTGGGGGATTTTTTGGGGGTACTTTGGGGATTTTTGGGGTTATTTTTGTGATGTTTTTAAAGGGTTTTTTGGGGTTGGTTTTGGCTTTTTTTTGGTTATTTTGGGAATATTTTTGAGGTTTTTTTGAGGGTTGTTTTGGGTTTTTTTGGGGTTGTTTTGGGGTTTTTTTGGGGTTGTTTTGGAGATTTTTTGGGGATATTTTTGGGGTTTTTTTGGGGTTATTTTGGGGATTTTTTTGGGGTTGTTTTGGAGATTTTTTGGGGATATTTTTGGGGTTTTTTTGGGGTTATTTTGGGGATTTTTTTGGGGTTGTTTTGGAGATTTTTTGGGGATATTTTTGGGGTTTTTTTGGGGTTATTTTGGGGATTTTTTTGGGGTTGTTTTGGAGATTTTTTGGGGATATTTTTGGGGTTTTTTTGGGGTTATTTTGGGGATTTTTTTGGGGTTGTTTTGGGGATTTTTTTTTAGGTTCTATTTGGGATTTTTTGGGGTTACTTTGGGATTATTTTTGTGATGTTTTTAAGGGTTTTTTTGGGTTATTTTGGGTTATTTTGGGGATATTTTTGTGATGTTTTTGGGCTGTTCCAGGATTATTTTGGGGATATTTTGGGGTTTTTTGGGGTTATTTTGGGTATCTTTTGGGGATATTTTTGGGTTTTTTTTGGGGTTGTTTTGGGGTTATTTTGGGGTTGTTTTGGGGTTTTTTTTAGGGTTTTTTTAGGTTATATTTGGGATTTTTTGGGGTTACTTCGGAGTTATTTTTGTGATGCTTTCAAGGGTTCTTTTGGGGGTTGTTTTGGGGTTATTTTGGGGATTTTTTGGGGATTTTTTGGGGTTGTTGTGCTGTTGTTTTTGGGATTTTTTGGGGTTATTTTGGGGATCCTTTGGGGTTATTTTGGGGATTTTTTGGGGTTTTTTTGGGTTGTTTTTGGGATTTTTTGGGGTCTCACCTCGGCCTCGGCTTCATCCAGCTCGGGGTGGGCTCGGAGCTCAGCCAGGCTCAGCCTGGAGGGGTCAGGGGGGGTCAGGACCCCCCCAAAAACCTCAAAACTCCCCCAAAGACCACCCAAAATCCCTCAGGGACCCCCAAAATCCCCCCAGGACCCCCCAAACCCC